GTCGCCATCGATTCGAAGCAGTGAACCTGAACTCCGAAAGTCGAAACCCCATCAAAGGTGAGACCTCCAACCATTTGACAGTAAGCCCTAAATGTTTCGCCGGCACCGATTTTGGTTTTATCTGCCTAATAAATATTATTCAGTTGATTACTTGCTTTGCTATCAATTTTAGATGTTGAATGTTACAACGCAGCTGTAAGTATTTATTTTCCTAGGTGCTAGCAATTGCAGGGAATTGAATTCCACGATAAAATGAGTATATTATTAGATTCATAGAAGTGCACTGCTGTAGAATGACAAAAGTAATTTGAGTGATCAGAATTTCATCTTCCTTTGGCTGCCACTGAACTGGTCGATACACTGCAAAGATTTAGATGCGCATGCTCCATAATGATGCCCATTTACCTGTTCAATTAACTTCTAATAAATTTAGTAAATAAGAATGATGAATCTCTTGCACTACAGTAAGGGGAAAAGTAATCCTTAGTGATTAGTGGTTATTGCATTATTTCTATCATACTTCCATCTCTGTTATTGATTAACTTTTACAATTACTGTAGACAATGCAAGCACAAATGATGCAGCGATCATTTATGTGAAAACGAAGTTGAAGAATTGGAAACCCGATGATACTATGATTTTAGGTGGCTCTTATTTGTATGTACGTTGTTCAGCACACATAGTCAATTTGATTGTTAAAGAAGGGTTGAAAGAGTTTAATCCATCTATAGAAAGTATTCGCAATGCAGTCAAATATTTTCGATCATCTCCTTCTTGATTGATGAAATTTAAGTGTTGTATTGAAAGGGAAAAGATTGCATGCAAAAAACTTCCTGTTTTAGATGTTTCTACAAGATGGAATTCAACATTCTTAATGTTGGATAGTGCATTAAATTTTGAAAAAGTTTTTTTTTAGAATGGAGGAAAAGGACGGATTTTATTATAAATATTTTGACGAGAATGAAGGTGGAAAAGAAAAAGAGGGGCTGCCTACGAGTTATGACTGGGAGAAAGCTAGAAAATTTGCCAAGTTTCTAAGAACCTTTTATGATGTCACATTGAAGTTTAGTGCTTCATTGAATGTTACTTCCAATATTTACTTCCAAGAAGTGTGTAAAATTGAGCAAATTTTGAAAAAAAATGGGTGACAAACAAGATTATTTGCTAAGTAGCATAGCAAACAACATGAAGATTAAGTTTGACAAGTATTGGGGTAATGTTGATAAAATGAACAAGATTTTGATTGTAGCAGTTGTGCTTGATCCTCGTTATAAGTTGGAGTTTGTTGTACATTGTATTGGTATCTTGTATGACTCTATTAAGGTTGAAGCCACAAAAACTGAGGTCATGAAAATATTTTATACTTTGTATAACCAGTACAAGGGATGTCATCGTTCAAAGAATGGAGCTAGTGGAAGTGGAAGTGAAAGTGGAAGTGGTGGCAATGAATATAATGATGGAGTCACTTTGTTGGAGGGTTCAGATGATGATGATGATTGGGATGATTGTAATTTTGATTTTGGGTACAAGAAAATGGAAACTAGCAAAATGGATTTTTCTGGAAAAGATGAGGTACAACGATATCTAATGGAACCTACTGAAGATGCTACTGATGAAAAC